ATAATGCATGTAGACTGATCGCAAACCTGATACAAGAAAAAATAAAATAAAGTGCCATACTCCTTGAAAATATTGCAAACAAGCATGCAGATTTTCTTTCAACTCAACTCAACTTAATTGAATTCAATTTTATTTATATGCCACCAAATCAAATCCACAGTCACCTCAAGCTGCTTAATATTGTAAGGCAGACCCTACAATAATACATACAGAGAAAAACCCAACAATCATATGACCCTATATGAGCAACCAGCTCATATAGGGGGTGAGAGAAGGAAGACAGGATAAAAGACATGCTGTGGAAGAGAAAGATGTGCTTATTTAAATATAAGGTAGTTGCAGTTTTTGGCTAAGGATTTATTCCTGGAAGCAGCTGCAATTATCAGATTACTCCGAGTTTAAAGCAGGTTCAGGCTTGTAAAGTAACTGAAAAACTATCAGCTATTAATGCCTTAATTCAACATAAATCTATGTGAAAAAGAACAATTCATTAAACTCCTTATCCCACAATTTCATTTATCCTATGAAGATGTTCATGGTCAAAATATTCAGGACACTTTAGTTATTCCAGTTAGGTCCAGAACTGTGAGTCAGGAAACAGAGTGGCTTGTTCACTGGTCACCATGGTCGGTGGTTTGAGTCTGAGCTTCCGTGGTCCACATGTCGAAGTGTCCTTTTGCAAGAACCAAATCCTAAATTTCCCAATTTCATCTGTGCAGTATAGACAGAGGTGCCGGATGCACAGAGTAAAGTATATGAATGAATGTGACTCATATTGCTTTAAGTCATCAGTAAAACTAACAAAGTGCTATATGAATGTCACTCCATTCATCACCTAACCACTTTGGTCCAGACTCAATTTTCTCAGTGCTGGACTGATTACACCGAGCTGAGGCTTTGCAGGTCGAACAACATTTTGTACAAATAATCATATCACTAGATGATGAATCCTGCTACCAGCAAGGTTGGCCTTTGTATTGACATTTCTTTACAGCTATTGAATGGAACACGCAATGATTGCAGTGGCAGTCATGTTCTCCCTTGACGTAAGTGGAATTAAAAAAAAGTCTACAGGATACACTGTAGAGTACCAATATGCTGATCTAAGATTGTGATTATGGCAAACATACCAGCAACACATTTGCACTGAGAGTATGTAACATGTAGCACGTTCACTTTAACCCTCAGTTCAGTATCGGAAGCTATAATGGCATAGACTGTCAGCTTTGTTAAACTTTTTACTACATTTTAAACATTTAAAAAAGCACTTTTCCTGGTAAATATCAGAGTAACGAAGGTACTGTACAATTACATAAGTAACATAAGGTTCGCTGAGGATATTAAAGCATCATTATTGGTAAAGACTTTTTATTTATTTAGTGGTTGGTTTAAGATAAAGCCACCTGAAATACAGTAAGTTCTTATACAGGAGGAAAGGTCCATGTTTGCATAGCAACCAGTGAACTGAAGTATTAATCTCTGACCAATCAGAGCTTAGTTTGAGTGACCTGTTGTATAACATATTTTAGGACAGATGGTCTGCACTGTTATTTTGGGTGACTTTGGATGTGTGTGTATGTATTTGTTTGTGTGACTCACTGGTGTGACAGCACAAGGAAGTTAAGAGGGGCCACCTGTGTCATGAAGCAGATGATACAGGAGTCATCTCTCTGAGGACAGTGGGAGTCCTGGGAGAGATGCAGCAGTCTGTCACAGACTGGGGTCAAGAGTTCAGGATTACAGGAAAAAAGGCTAGAGTCACAGAGTAAAAGAGTCAGTAAGTGGCTGCAATCAAAGCAACAAACTATTGTTAAAAGAAATCTTTTCAAAACAATTAAAAGATATCCCTATAATAGTGTCACAGATCCAACCTAAAATGACTTTGCAGTTAAGATAGCCCTCAAAATGATGTAAATTTAACTGACAAAGATTTATATATATATATATACAGTATATAACCAGCCTGCTGACCAAAATAACAGAGGACACCAAAATGCTTAAATAATCAAATTAATTCAAAGAACAAATTCTATTAGGATATTTGAAGAATGATATAATTATTCCTCCACCACATGGAATCTGCAGCTTTTTAACTTGAGATTTTAAAAATACGAGACTCTTAAAACCTGAATAAAATATGTTTTCCCAAAAAGGAAAGGTATGATGGTGAGCACAGTCTGTTCTTTAAAGTTGTTTTGTAAAAATCAATTTCTGAAAGCAGAAGGTTTAAAATGATAATTTCATTTGTAATGCGTGTATTCCCGCCACTATGACACGCCATCCTCTTCATTTATGTCTCTTTGAGCAGTCTAAATATATTCATTACTTAAGAGAGACTAATCTCTTATTTTCCACATAAAACACATCCATAATGTTCATTTGTGCTTGACATTACAAAACGTTCAGTTTACAACATGTTTATTAAAATGGCAATCTCATTTTCACCCCATCTGAGCTGGGGCGAAGGTTTGGCAGTGACTGGTTGGCAGTATCTGTCATCCTG